AATTTGCAAAAAATGAAAACCAGAAAAAGTCTAAGAAAGAAACATTCGACGAATATCACTAGTTTTCCAATGAAAGATTTTTTAAAGGACAAGCAGCAAACGAAAAGTATAAAGGAATATAAAGTACAAAAGGCTGCTGGTAAAAAAAGGAAGAGAGGGAGCAACTTTAACAAGTTTGAGGCTAATAATGTACCAAAGAAGAAGATAATAACCAGAGACGATAAAGAAAATGATTACAATTGTTTAATTTGTGAAGAGAAGTATCATGATCCACCCACTGAAGACTGGGTTATGTGTTACATATGTAAATCCTCGTCCCAAGAGAAGTGCATAAGTTCCTCAAGCACATCCAGAGGTTTTGTGTCTGTGATTTTTGCACGTAATTAATCGGAGTAAAATTTTATTTTCTTTGAATAACATTTATTGATATTTGACATTTTATTTGCTTTGAATAACATTTATTGATGTTTGATTCTTTGGTGTTGATTTGTTTCAAATTCGATTCATTTTTATTTCAGCGCTTCAATTAACTTGATTTGCTGTGAGAAACTTTGAGTTTATTTGCTATTACCCAACAGTGTTTGTGAATACCCAACGGTGTGTTCGGAATTACTCAAAGTACGTAGGGTAATTCCTAACACCAATGGTTTTGTTTTTGAACAAATTTTTTATTTTATATTAAGATATATGAAAATTGCTTTTGAGCGTTTCTACACGAATGGTTAGACTAAATAATAAGCAATAAATATCATTAATATATAGTAATAGTTGTCTTTTATCCTCATTCCTAATTCATACCTGAAAAAGCGGTTTTTGGCTATTTCTGATTCTATAGACAAAATTGCTAATAAAGTAAACTTTTCTTGGCTTATGGTAAACCAGAAATAATTTTTATTAAATTTAATCTTGAAAAAGATCTCTCTGCTGAAGCGAATGTAATTGGTAACGTTATTTTAACTTTAGGCGCAGTAACGAAATTTGGATATAACTAAGATTATTTTTTAACAAATATTGCAGTATTTGTAATGTTCTAAAGTTGGAAGGTAAAACTCGACGATAGATTTTGATTTCATTACATAAATCAATCACATCAATATCATATTGCAATGCTGTATATAAATCTTTATAATATTTTAAAAGTTCATTTTCACTTACATTTATAATATTATCCGAACTATATAAAAAACCATTTCATGTTTTATGTTCTTGATAAGGTTTAAGTCTTCTTGTGAATGAAATAATCGCATTATCAACAAGGACAAGAAAATATTCAATTCTAAAATATTCTTCACTCGATGAAAAATTTCTTACAATTTTTTGAATCTTAAATTAAAACGTCGTTTGTACTTCTTCAGCAATTCCGTAGCTTTTATTATGAAAGTTTTGAATTTCGTTTCACGGTATTTTTTTAAAAAATTCTAAAATTCCTTTTAAATCTGTATTTGATATGCTGATATCCAAATTGGAATGTTGAAAAATCTTGCTCATGATATTTACTTCATTTAATATAGCATACCAAATTACCACACTTAAAACAACTTCAAAAGAACAAAGCTTATTTCCGATTGATTGATTGCTTGTTTTTCAATCAATAATATAAGGTTTTCTATTATTCTATTGCATACGAAATACATAATATGATTCAAAAAACATATATATAATAAGCATGCGTTTTTTAAACATTCATCTTACTTTGTTAATAATATACATGTTTTTAACATAAATCGAAAAAACAAGCCAACATTGTTATGCCTGATTTTAAGTCCAAATGCAATAGACCTTTCGACGCGCTGGGCCTTCTCAATCGCAGGGCTTTGTGTGACTGCACCACCCTCCGGCCGGGTCTGATATTAAACAAAAAACCAAGTATATTTCAAAGTTTATTTGAGATGAAACTGTTTCAAGGTTCATTAACACCTAAACTTTAAAGAATACTAAATAAAAAAAAAATCGAAAAAACAATTTTTTTTTTGTGTGTGTGTGCTTTTTTTTTTATTTCAAAACAAAAAACGAAGCACAAAAACATAAAACTCTAAACGTATCGTTATCCAAAAAGACATTTTTGGATAACGATAATTTAACGTTATCTTAAGTAAGTAAGCTTTCTCTGTTTGTTATTTTTTATAAAAGCTTTTCTGTAAAAAAAGTTCTTAAAAAACTCATTTAATTTACTGTTTTTACTGCCGAGTTTGGCAAATAAATTATCAAACCTGTTGCTTGTACCAAAAACCGGTACTTAATACAAAGGTAAACTTTTAATACAAAAGTTGATAAAAGCATAAATGGTATCTATTAACATATAAAAAAAATGGAAATGTAAAAAACAAAGCAAAAAAGGCCAAAACATCTCCTCAAAACTATAATTCCACAGACAAAATTATAGAAACTACTTGAGAAACACAAAACACATTTTTCTTGAGATAAAATAAAAATATTAACATTTAAAAAAATATTATATTCAACATAACAAAGTAAAATACTAATAAAAACAATTTAAATTGGAACATCATTTCATTATTATATAGCTTTTAGTAAATGGTATGAAGATTATCAAACTTAGTTTTAGCTTTTTGAATACAATTAACATTAAGAGTTCGACCTAAAAATGGAACAAAATTGTTTATTGCATACACATAATACACATTAATTCGTTATGTACTATTTATTTATTTGAAAACTTAAAAATGTGACTAATCAGATTAGACACTTTCTTTGTGAGGCTGTATTTCTTTTGTGGAAGTTTCAAGATTTGTATTGCAAGTTTGGATTATTAACTCTTTTTAACAAGGCAAGGCTAAAAATAAATGAAAAATAAAAACTCATTAATACAACTATGATTACCAGATTGCTCCGTTCTGAATGACACTATTGAAATAGGATCATATATATTTAATTGACAATGTGTGTGTAGAAAAACATCTTCAGGCTTAAATTTCTAGCACGATGCAAAGTTTGTCCATAGACCCTAAAACAGAAAGGGCTATTCTTTGTAAAAGGAGCTATTTTGATTGTGAAGCAAACAATAGGTAGAGATGAACTTTAACTCCTTAGGTGTTTAAAAAACTTTAATTACTAGGCCTATCAACTTGGTTTTCTGTCTGTAAGTTTGTCAAAAATAGTGGATATTGAGAAAGAGGAGCTAATACAACTTTTCCAAAATGGCAGGAAAACAAAAACAGTTTTATTCAAAAACCTTTTCGCACTATAATACTGACAAATATAGTTTGATTCATTAAAGTTGTTACTCTTTATAGCAATGTATTTCTTGCCATGCGATGCATTTATACTTATCCAACTAGCACACACAATAAAGTTTGTTTTGAAAGAAAGAAAATTGTTTTGTTTTTCCATTTAAATAAGAAATATTAAAAAAAAAAAAACACGCTGATGACATCAACTTGCCACACGACGACCTTCAACATCGGTCCAACATCGGCTGCCAATAATGTTTTTATATCATTAGTATTATTAGCATAACGTTAATTGGCAAAACATTGCATTTAATATTATTATATTGAACATTAATTGGCAAAACGTTGCATTTAATATTATTCGGAATTAAGGTTTCTTGAAAATTTTATATATATATATATATATATATATATATATATATATATATATATATATATATATATATATATATATATATATATATATATATATATATATATATATATATAATATATATATTTATAAATATATATAAATAAATTTAATATATATATATATATATATATGCAGGCCCGCCCAGAGCTTTTGTGATGCCCGGGTCCAAAAGTTTAATTTATGCCCTATCATACTTCAGGTCTTAAAATAGCAAATAAATTAATATAGTTTACTTTCATAAAAAACCAAAAATCACATTTAATTTTGGTTTGCAAAAACAAACTATGATAAAATCAATTCTTAATCGACAAACACATCTTCCGGGCTATCTTAGCAGCAAAATTTGAAATAACTTCTTCATAATTAACGTTAATGGCTAAATCTGATTCGATTGAAAGGATCATCAAGTAGCACAATCGCTCCTGGCCCATTGTGGAACGAAGATAATCCTTGATGATAGCTAACTTGCTAAAAGATCTTTCTCCTTCAGATGTTGAAACGGGCAATGTTAGAAAGATTCTAAGAGAAACACACACTTGCGGAAATATTGAATGCAGCCCCTTTTCATAAACTTCATTTAGAAGTTCGACAGGCTTTTCGCTGGCTAGAATATTTCTTCTTTCGGAAAAAAAAATGCCGAACTTCATCAGGAAATTCGTTTTTACATAAGTCTTCTGGGTAAAGTTTAGCCAGATTCTCAGTTTTTAAACCTAGTTCTTGGTCTGTTTGAGATTTCTGCAAAGACCAAAGGAAGGAAAACTTGCTACATTCCGCTTCTATTACTTTAAATCTTGATCTCATTTGACTAGTCAGATTGTCGAGTGCAACATTGAAGACATTACACTCAAAGTTTTTTGATGCTTCTTCGTGGTTGTAACCAGCAGTTTCATCTGAGATGATCTTTTTTCGCGTTCTCTTCACAGTAAACATTATTTTATCAAATTTCAAGTTCTTTGCAACTTCTGTTGCCTCTATCAAAATCAGGTCCCAAGACAGACGGATTCGATCCAGATCCATCAAAAGGCCATTTAGAATCTTTACTTCATCATCGAGAGTGAGTTGAATGGATTGAAGCAGAAGACTCACATTTAAACCAAAAAGTAGTGAAAACAACAAGTTCAAAAGAATTCATCCATTTAATGAGATGCACTTCATTATTACTTTCGCCTGGAAGGTCTAACTCTTTTAGACGATGTAATGATTTCAAGATCTCTCTTGGCTTTTTTGCTAGTGGCTTAACTGATTCAATCCTTGAACTCTATCGTGTAACAGAAAGTTTATGTAATGATTGGCCTGTCTCCTCCTGAAGAATTTTCCAACGAACTGGACTGCTGCTGAACAGATTGTATAGCTTTTGAATATTTCCAAAATAGGATTTTGCAGGAGCCGATGATTCAATAGCGTGTACTTGCACATAAGTTCAAACTGTGAGCAGAGCAAGGAATGAAAACTGCTTGTGGATTATTCTGTCTTATCAAAGCTTGAACTCCATTGTAAACACCTGCCATATTAGCGCCGTTGTCGTAGCCTTGACCACGACAATTTTTTATGTCGAGCTCATTTTCTCCCAACACATTCAATATCAACTTTGTTATATCAGATCCCTTCTTCTTTTCAAGTTTTTCTAGCTTAAAGAATCTTTCTTTGACCTCCCACAGCTGATTATCATTGAAATGCAAAAAACGAAAAACAAAAGTTATTTGCTCGCTGTGGGACAAATCGGAAGTGCTGTCCGTGATGATGGTGAAATATATTGATTTTTTGATTTCTCGAATAACTTCTCGAACCACTAATTTGCCGCATTCCTTGATAAATTCATTTTGTGATTTCCAAGATAAATAATGAGCTTGCATGCGTTTTTCTTCTTCTTGGTGCTTAGCAATAAGATGCATATGATCTTGTAATGTTTTGTTGTGGCGAGCAATTAATTCGAGCGCTCCAAGGAAGTTTCCATTCCCATTTTTGAACAACTTTTGATTGGATCCTAATTACAAACAAAAAATAATCAAAATAGTAATCCATATTTATATCCAATTAAAACTTATAATTTTGATTTTTAAATTGCAAATAAAATAGTGCAAAATATAATTAAAAATTTAAAAACAATATTCTTACCCCTAAAAGCTAAGTTTCTTGAAGCTAGAAAAATTGTGACGTCAAGAATGCATTGTAAAATTACTTTCCATCGCTTTGTTTCATCTACAATTTGTATTTCTAACTGATGCTCAATGGACTTTTGACTTTTCAAATGAATCGTAGCTGTTTTCCATTGGAGATAACAGTTACGGTGAAAATCGCTTTGTTGATGACTTTTAACGCGATCTGAAAGTTTTCTCCAATTCCATGTATACCTCCATTCCAAGACAACAAACTGGATTGAACACCGGGTCTGGTTAAGTTAGGTGATCCAAAAAGGGAGCAAGGGAAACAAAAAAGTGATGCCACAGCCTTACTCCAAACGAGCCAATCTCTTTTAACTTTTTCTCCGTTTCTTTGTTCCTCTAAAAAGATATAAGTAGGGAATTTGTGTTCTTTTTGATCTCTTGGAAAATTGCTAGGATTTGAAGAAGGTCCCATCAGAATTATATTCGTTCGATCAGTGTCTGATATTGATTTCCATAGTGCAGGATCGTTAGAGATTGGTATAGAAAGATCACTTTTATAAATTTGTTGGTCATTGTGACAATCAAGTACAAAATCCAACTGATCCTTTTTTAAATGTGATGATGTGTTTTGGGAGTCATCGATGTCATCGGCAAGAAAAAGTTTGTCGGAATTATGGTCTGGCAACTCATTAGAGTCATTGATACCTATCTCAATATCATTGAACTATAAAGAAGTATTAAACAGAATTATTCCAATTATTTTTTCATGAACGTCACAAGATTAAAAAATAGTTTAACTACCTGCTTGCATTTATCTTCGAATTGTGTCCAACGAACGCAATCTAAAAGCGTTCGTTTGTTTTTGCTTTCGTTTTTTTCCGAATCATTGCTCTTTTTCTCCCAGCAGCTCCAGACAGCTGTTTCAATTATGGAGGTCTTTGATTATTCATGCTAAAACTTATGACGATATAAAGAATTTTTACTTTTTAAAGTTTTAAAAATTAAAAACTTTTTTATACTTTGGTGTTATTAATTGCAGAGAAAAAGTCAGTACAATTAAAATATCCACTGAAGATAAGTTTCTTGTCAAAATATAGTCGGAACAAAATGCAGGCGAGTCAAAAACATACATATGCACAAAAGTATCCACAGGAACGCAAGGTTTAAGCAAAAATAAGTTAAACTATCAGAAGTCAGGCATTTACAAACGTTATATTAGAAAAAATTTTTTTTAACGCTTTATAATCTATCATGCGAACAAAAGGCCAATGAAAACGCGTGCGTTCAAATGGATAATGAAAACCTTGTAAAGTAATAATTATCCTATTTTAAATGCAAACAAAGTTTAAATGGAGAAAGAAATTAATACACAAAATTTTTTTATCATTTCAATAATTTTTTTTAAGGCATGTGATGCCCGATAGACTGTGATGCCCGGGGCAAACTACTTCAATTGCCCCCCCCCCCTCTTGGCGGCCCTGTATATATGTATGTATAAATGCATACATATATATATATATATATATATATATATATATATATATATATATATATGTATATATATATACGTATATATATATATATATGTATATATATATATATATATATATATATATATATATATATATATATATATATATATATATATATATATATATATATATATGCAATTTACTACAGTTGTGCCGTAGAAAGTTATGAATAGAATACCCAGCCGGCAAATAACGTTGAAATAACGTTGAAATATCGTTGAAACCTAACGTTGAATTAACGTTGGTTTAACGTTTAGAATGAAAGTTTTTTTCAACGTTGATTTATCAACGTTAAATCAACGTTGGGTTCAAACGTTATATCAACGTTGAATCGACGCGATAAAACGTTACAATAAAATTGAATTAACGTTGATTTAACGTTTAGAATGAAAGTTTTTTCAACGTTGATTTATCAACGTTAAATCAACGTTAGGTTCAAACGTTATATCAACGTTGATTCGACGCGAAAAAACGTTACAACAACGTTGAATTTACGTTGATACAACGTTTAAAATTATAGTGTTTAACGTTGATTTATCAACGTTAAACGACTGTAAAACACTTTTCACCAACAAAACGTGCTATGTATGTCAAAATGTATATATGTATGTAAACGTGCTATGTGCGTCAAAATATGATCACCATCAAAACGTACTATGCATGTACATTAGTGTTGCTGTTTATTATCAAGGTATATTATGAATATTAAATCTATTCATAGTCTATACTTAGACTATTTAGAACTTTTTCAGTTTAGTTTAGTTAAAAAAGCTAGGTATGATTAAAAAAAGAGATAAAACTTGTTTTATTTAAAAATACATATTCAAATATTACATATATTTACATGTAATTGAATAAAATCTACACAAATTTCTTCTCTTTTTCACCACCTTTTTGAAATAAAGCGTAATTTAGAAAGTCAAACAATGTTCCATTAACCGAGGGTTCTTTTGGTCCATTGAATACAATAGAAGAAGCTGTAAATAAAAAATATATATTAAAAAAATCAAAAAGGGAAGATTTAAAAAATAAATAATGAATGGAAAAGTGTTACATCTTATGTAGGCACATCTTTTTCAACGCCATATAGATTAGTGTTCTTAAAACATATTTTTCCACCTTTCCAAAATACTCTGAATTTTAAAAAAATAATATAACTGTTAGTTGGTTATTAATAACTTTTTCAAATATTTAATTTAAATAAAACAACCTTTTTAATATATTAAAAATAAATTGGTAGTCAAAATATAAAACATTTCTAGCATTTAAAAATAATTTTCGGGGTGGCCACATAAAATTTTCATAAGAAATTTTATGTGGCCATTTATTAATGGTTTAACGTCCATGTTTATACACTTATGGGGCTGGAACAGGGATCAAATAATGTCATTTATTATGTTAAATGGCATGCATTTTCTAAAGCAATTTTTTACATTTCATGCACTTTAAAACGTTAACCAGTTTTGCAGACCGAGAATGGGTATTTTGAACATAATACTTCCATCAAAAATTAAAAAAGGAAGAATTAACGAGGAGCTTTGATCAAATTTTTACCTCTTTAGAGGATAATAGAGGATTTTAGAAGTGGTTTTAAAATAAAGAGGACTTTAGAGGATTTTAGAGGAGCTGCAGACACCCTGATTATAAATGAGGTAAGAGTCCAATACTGTTTTTGATTACCTCAGCATAATTTTGTGTATTCTATCTTTAGAAGACGTTCCACCAATTCACTAATTAATTTATCTGTAATTGATTTATCTGTAAAAAACATGAATTAAATCTAATATTATGCTTGTGGAGATATATTATATTGTGGAGAACCATCCAAACCACACAAATGGAAAATTTGCATCCAAGTTTCTACTTGTGTGCAAATCTTGCATCCACTTGTCAACATTCTTATTATCACATTTTTCTTTTGTAGTTGTGAATTTAAAATTTTCACAATACTGTTTGCTTTCTTTTAGAATTGAAATAGTTATACAAATAGTTATATATTTTGTACCAACAAAATAACTTTTTTTACCACATTATTTAAAAAATGAAAATTGTAATATATAGATGTAATACCTGAAGAGAACTTAGTTTTTATTTGTATAAACTTAAGCCAATTCTTCTCTGCATTTTAGTGCAGTCAATGCTTTGGTAGCTGGAAGCCGACAAACAATTTTATCACTAATTCAATTAGATGGAATTACTTCTTCTTGTAAATCTTCATTCCAAACAGCTCCTTTCCACATATTCGATTTTGAAAAAATTACATGAACTAATATAAAATGAAGAAAATGTATTATAAGTGTACTAACAGGCCTAATTAAACTAGCTAAATTTGAACATTTTATAACCATGATACTTGCTAAACAATAATATTAGTAGACATTATAAGCAAAGATAAGATTTTCTTTATTTTATAAATGTATAATATTTTAAACTCATTTTTATTAATTTATTTATTACTCTATTATTCAGCAGAGTTCTGAATATATTATGTTCAAATAACTTAAAGCTCAATAACAAAGACAAATAATAAAAGAATACTAGGTTGCTAAAACATAAACATCTACATAAGATAATTATGGAATATTGAAAAAAAATAGAAATACAAAAAAACAAAAATACTCATTATAAATATAATAGTATAATTTAAGGTATATTACAATATATGACACAATAATATCGACTTTTAATTAAAATATAAAAACAACAAAAATTAAAAAAGAAAATATTTTGATAAATAATAAATTATCATTCAAACAATTTTCAAGATCAAAAAATAACTTGTAACTTATTTTTTTACTTATCTTTATCTAATAAACATTACTTATTTTTCACTTATTTTCATCTAATAAACATTAATATTAATACCAATTTTAAACATTATTGGAATTTTTTTTTTCAAAAAATAAAAATATTACATCAGTTACTTTTTGGGCTTTTCTTGTTTTACTTAAAACATCAACTAAATTCTAGACTTTTTTCATAATTGAATTTTAATTTGTAATGTTGAATTAACACTGAAAAAAAAATATTAGTAGACAAAAAGAAATTATTTCTTTATTGAAATATATGTAAATATTTCAATAAAGAAATTATAGATTGATTTTTATAAATATAAATTTATATCAATCAATCTAAATTTTTTTCTTTTCCGCCATCTTTTCGAAATGAAGCACATTTTTAGAAGTTAGACAAAATGCCATCAATTAAAGTTTCAGTCGTTCCATCGTATTTAATAGAAGAAGCTGTTAATAAAAAAGAATAAGAAAAAAAAAAAAAAAAAAAACACAAGGAGAAGTTTTTGAATATATAAAAAATGAGAATAAAAAAGTTTTTCATATCTTATAAAGGTATACCTTTCACTACACCATATAAATTAGTGCTCTTAAAGCATATTTCCACCTTTCCCCTTCATATTTATGGAGATCACAAAATTGTTGGAAAATATTCTAAATTTTAATAGATAAGAGAACTGATATTAATTATGCGAAAACTAATATTAATTTTTTTTTTAATTTAAATTGAACTCATTATCAAACAATTTTTTTGCTAAATAATTTAATCCTTAAAATTCCTGAATAATTAAAAATTATTATAATTACCTCAGCATTTTAAAGATATTCCATCAATTGCAATTGATTCACCTAAAAAACAAAAACAAGTAAAGCTAATATTATTGTTTGAAATTTTAATTATCTTTATACAAATACTCATCATATTTTTAAAGTGACTGATAAAAATGGATTCAATTAAAATCACTTCATTTGTATTAAAAAATTAATATTAAAGCCTTAATCATACATTATACAAGAGTATTTTGTAATACAATCTAAATAATTGTTGCGATATGTAATTTTTTTATCCGAAATTTAGCTTCTGTAAGCTTTAGAAATTTTTTAAAGAAATTATTGATGAATTTGGAGCTACGGGTACTAATGTTTTTATATTGCTGTAATGTTTGTATTCATTCCCTGTTAGTTTCTGTAAGTCAAAATTTTAAGGTGATGCCATAATAAATTCTGTTATATCTAAAATTTAGTGTTAGTCTGAATAATTTACTTTTTAAAATCTGTTTGCATTGCCTGTCTTATAACATCTTTACTTGGAAAAAAACCATGTGGTTTAAAAGTGAGCTAGAAGCTTTCAACAATGAAGAAAATATTGCATTCGCTAATCCTAAAAATATATTAAACCTGTCAGCAAAATGAGCTGTCAATAATCCAAGTATTAGCATCATTAAAAATTCATCTTTGCTGCATTATATTTATTTTGGTCCAAGTAG